CTTTAAATTATTCTTATACTCATTGAAGCTGTCTAATGGAAGAGGTGGTTTAGAGAAATTGAAAGTCCAATTTCCATGTGAAGTGTAACTCTGTGACACAAATTATAAGAAGATTTGGAATTTTGTTCTTGATAGTAACACACCAGCTTCATTGGGACCTCTTATATACTGACAATTATTTTGGTCGGACAAAACATATCAAATTTTAAGGATTTCCTGAAGTAACTTAAATCAATTCAAAAATTCGACAGAAAACTAAGTTTTGTTTTCTTGTGAATACCCGAAATGCACTCAAAAGAACCAATTTATATAAAAAGTTTATATTTGGTAAAAATCAATAAACTCATCAGGGACACGTGGTCAGGATTAAAGTACTACAAAAGACTCATCAGTGACGCTTAAATCAAAATAGAAAAAGGCCAAAGTTTCGGAGCATTGAGGACCCAATATTCCGAAAGGTTTTGCCAAATACAGCTAAGGTAATATTTTCGTCGGGTTATCCTTAGTATTTCGAAAATTTTATAAATAGGACAGTCACTCAAAAAGAAAGAAAAAAAAAATTGATGTCAGAGTACCTCAATGATGAGCATGCTTCAAAATCACGCCAAGCTCTTACCTTGTATACCACCATTCCCCATGTGAAATTGAAAAACCGTCTAAAAGAAATAATCCACAATGCTTTTCAACATAAAAATGGTAGCATACGCTATAAATTTATTACTTTGGGATACCATAAAGCATATTATGTTAATAGTGAACAAAAGGGTAAAACATGCTACACAGAGGAACAAGTGATCAGTATGCTAGAGTTTCTTACTGACAACATATTTGTGGAATTTGGAGGTAGACTTTTTCAACAAATTGTCGGCATTCCTATGGGAACGAACTGTGCGCATCTCCTTGTCGACCTCTTCTTATTTTCATATGAATCGAAGTTCCTTCAGACACTTGTCAAAACAAGAAGATCAAAGAATCCAGGTTATTAAATTTCACTTTCAGATATATTGATGATGTTCTTTCCATTAACAATCCGAACTTTTCTGAATGGATTCCATTAATATATCCCCAAGAACTAGAAATTAAAGAAACAACAGACACGGCTTCCTCCGCCTCCTTTTTAGACTTATACCTCGAATTTGACATACACAATGAACACGGTCATCTCAGTACCAGAATCTATGACAAACGAGACGATTTTAATTTTGAAATTATCAATTTCCCCCACCATAGTAGCAATATACCAAATTTCACCTGCATATGGGATATACATTTCCCAACTTATTCGGTATTCAAGAGCTTGCAGCTCCTACTCAGATTTTGTAAAACGTCACCAGTGACTGAGCAGAAAGTTGATGAACCAGGGGTATGTCAAAGAACCTCTCGTCCTTTTTCTAAAAAAGTTCATCGGAAGGTACCAAGACCTTGTTGATAAATATTCCGTATCAACTTCACAAATAATACACGATGGTTTTGAAGTATAGATTCTGCGAACTGACGTTGTTTATCATCTTAATAACGTGTTATGGTGTTCTTTTATTTGTCTTTATTAATATTACTTTTACTGTTAAGTCTGTTTTTTGTGATATCTATTTGACGTGACTCTGTACTTATGTATCCGGTCATACTTTGAACGACAAAACTTTTATTTTATTAATATTACTTTTACTGTTAAGTCTGTTTTTTGTGATATCCATTTGACGTGACTGTGTACTTATGTATCCCCTCATACTTTGAACGACACAATTATTTTATATCTACCTGTGTGACGTCAAAGATAAATAAAATCGTATAATAAAAAAGTAAAATGAGGATGTTAAATTCGATGTATGCCTTTTTCTGCTTCTTTGTTACATTTCTTTGTTTTTTTATAGTGATTAAGATAATAACTCAATGTTGACTGCTGTACCCCTATTTTTGACATTTTTACTTATTGTGTCTGTTTGTTCTGTTCACGCATCGTTGTCAATATAATGGAATTTGATGCGACTGTTATACAAGTGAGAGGTTTAGCTAGCTATAAAACCAGGTTCAATCCACCATTTTCTACATAAGAAAATGCCTGTACCAAGTCAGGAATATGACAGTTGTTATCCATTCGTTTGATGTGTTTGAGCTTCTGATTTTGCCATTTGATTAGGGACTTTCCGTTTTACAGTTAAGTCTGCCTCGTATCTTAACTTACATCTAGAAATTGACAATAAGGGTCGGTTGACAACAATACTTTACGACAAAAGAGATGATTTCAGCTTCCCAATTGTGACCTTTCCATTTTTAGTTCAAAATGGTGAAGTGGAAATCATCACTTCGTTTATTTTACGGACGCCATCACGAGTTGGTTGACCGTTATGGAATATCCGTTTCACAGATGATATCGGATATATTCCTTATGTCGTGACTGCAGTTCCGTTCCCTTTTCACGAACGTGACCTTCCGAATTAGACTATTTACCGGCTTTGTAATTACATGAGCAACACGATGGGTGCCAGATGTGGAGCAGGATCTGCTTGCCCTTCCGGAGCACCTGAGATCACCTCCAGTTTTTTGTGGGGTTCGTGTTGCTTTTGTACCCCTATTTGTGACATTTTAACCTACTGTGTCTGTTTTGTTCATACATCGTTGTCAATATAATGGAATTTGATGCCACTGTCATACAAGTGAGAGGTTTAGCTAGCTTTAAAACCAGGTTTAATCCACCATTTTCTACATAAGAAAATGCCTGTACCAAGTCAGGAATATGACAGTTGTTATCCATTCGTTTGATGTGTTTGAGCTTTTGATTTTGCCATTTGATTAGGGAATTTTCCTCGGAGTTCAGTATTTTTGTGATTTTACTTTTTACTGCCGTAACCTAGATTTAGATAAGAATTGCAAAAAATCACCTACTGCGAGTGATATCAATGATTACGCATGCACTAAGTTTTCTTGCGCAAGAATAGTAAATGCGGCAAGCATACGCACTGCTATTCTGGTTAAGCATATGCATTGTGTTATCAAGTATACTTATTCTAAGTTCAAATCTAACTTTAGTTGAATTCGGATGTCAAACTGCCTACATCAAGTGGTTTGACTCCAGATTCCTTGCCATTCAATCCGGAATTTGTATCAACGCAAACCGATATTGTTGTCAAACCAGAGTTTAGATCCGATTTTGTTGTGTCGTTTGAACAGGGTGTAATAATAATAGTAATGATCAGTAATATTATGTAAATAAACGGCAAGACGTTGGTAGGGTAGCTGTCAACACAAGGCATACAATTTTCAAAATCGCGCAATCATTGCAAAGATTAAGATGCTATAAGGTTGATAATGAAATTGAGAATGGAAATGGGGAATATTAAACTATTACAAACAAAAAAAGAATTAAAATTTAATTAACATACATTCCTAGCTGTTAATAAATCTTTTCCAGAAATTTAAAATATATTATCAATAAACACAAAAGTCAAGTATTTACTAATGGACATTTTTTTATCAAATCAATCTCTTCTTCAAGTTTAACTTTCTATTTTATTTCTATATAAAATATAAGCAGAGACTTATAAAACCATACGTAAACATGATTATTGTAAAACATTAATTACTTTTTTTGTGAAATGCAAGGATTCAAAATTCTTGTGAATTATTACCATGCAACTACTTTTTTCATTCCCTACAGTTTAAACATTAGATAATAATTTATTTGTGTTCATTCCTGATAATTGGTACTCGTATGTTGCATATGATTTTGATAAATGTATTCACTGTTAAAACCCACGGGATGATAATGTAACATTATTAATTATATTCTATTCGGTGCTTTGCTTTTGCGCCAATTGGCATTTCATTTGCGCCACAAAGCATATTTCATTTGCGCTACAAAGCATATTTCATTTGCACCAAAATGAAAACATTTTATTTGCGCCATTAAGAGTGGCTGCTAGCTTGAGCCTGGAAAATAGTATAAAAAATGATTTATTCAAAAAAGACTTTTAATATAATAACTTTAAAACACAGTTTTTGTTTGCATAGTAAAACATATATCATGTATATAGCCAAGGAAACATTTTTAAAGTCATTTGTAGTTTCCATTCCTGAAAGAAAGAGAGAAATCTTTGTTCAAAATATCTATTAATAGAAGTATTGTGCGTGTTAGCCCCAAACAATTCTTCTAAATGTTACAAAAATGTATTTGTACATTTGGAGATAGATAATATAAGTATTATTCTATGTTTAATTTGAAAAAAAAAATTTGACTCGCATATTGTATTAGCAATATTGTATCGTATTTCTATTAATGATAAATTTAGTTTCAGTTTAATCTTTTATAATTTTAATGAATATTCCCTTGGTCTGTTAATTTAGTATCTATTAATGAAAATAACTATTTTAGACAGAATATCGTTTTGTTTAATTATCTTTCTGTTTTCCGACTTAAGATAAATATTTTTAACAGTAATATCGTTTTGTTCATTTTCTTCTTGCTTTCCGACATTTGCTCAGGCTATGATGGAATTACAAATATGACATGTTAAACGTTCGGAAATAATCAGTTTACTCTGGGACATAATTTAATGTCAGTATATTATTCCCATGTCTATTGTCACAATGCACAATAGCACTTTGTGTTAAATACTACACAAACAACGTACAGGGACCGTCTCAAAACATAAATTATATAATTGCAATATCATTATACTTCATATTTAATACTTCCAATTAAAAACGCATATGTTTTGTCAAAATCAAATAGGTTGGAATATATAATAAATGGCTTTCTTAATGCAATCTATTCTTTATTTTCTTACTTTCCGATCTACAAATGAACTTTAATTTGATTGTCGAAAAATTAATACAATGTCACGTGGTAACATATCAATAGAGGGAACGTATCAAAGACATAGATAACTACCTGAGTGTATAAATGATCGAAAATTTTCGAGACGTTCCGAGAATCTTGTTTCCGGGAATATCGAATGGCTCTCATAGAAGCTTCCAAAACTCACAAATATATAAGCGTAAACCATGAGTCGTAAAACTTTAATAACTAATCATAACTCAATTGGAATATCATTATCATCATAGAATATTCCTATAAATAACTTTGATAAGCAAACATAAATTATTCCTATATATAACTTTGATAAGCAAACATAGAATATTCCTATACATAACTTTGATACGCAAACATAGAATATTCCTATAAATAACTTTGATACACAAACATAAAATATTCTTATAAATAACTTTAATAATCAAACATAAAATATTCTTATAAATAACTTTGATAAGCAAACATAGAATATTCCTATAAATAACTTTGATAAGCAAATATAGAATATTCCTATAAATAACTTTGATAAGCAAACAAAGAATATTCCTATAAATACATTTGATAATTAAACATAAAATATTCCTATATATTAATAACTTTGATAAGCAACCCTAGAATATTCCTATAAATACATTTGATAATTAAACATAGAATATTCCTATATATTAATAACTTTGATAAGCAAACATATAATATTCCTATATATTAATAACTTTGATAAGCAACCATAAAATATTCCTATAAATAAATTTGATAATTAAACATAGAATATTCCTATTTATTAGTAACTTCGATAAGCGAATATATAATATTCCTATATATTAATAACTTTGATAAGCAAACATAGAATATTCCTATAAATAACTGCATCGAAATAATAAAGAATAACATTACAAAAAATAAACGACAAGTGAATGACACAGCAACCTTTAAAAGGTTAGACTATTTTATACCCTCATCAGCCGCTGATGGTGTACATGTACCCATATCACAGTTGATTTACCGTTGATTAGAATTTTGTGTGTTTGGAACACAACAAAGCCTGTCAAAACTGGAGTTTTGAGTTCGAATCCCGCACGCGGAGGTGCTCGACTCCAATCTTAATTGATTGTTAGTTTTCCTACCGAAGATCGGTGGTTCTCTCTGGGAACTCCGGCATCCTTTAACAATAACAAACTGACCGCCACGAAATAGCACTATAGTGCTGAAAGTGGCGTTCAATACCAATCAATCAATCAATTTCAAAAATGTGTAATACATTGTATTATAAAAATATAGCCACTTTAAAATATAAAATAAATCTATACGAACTTTAATACAAACAATTTTAAAAATGTATAAACAATACGTTTACCCATTTGTCGATTGATTGGTTGATTGATTGATTCATTTATTACTGATTGCTTTACTCTGCACAAGTATATAAGGCTTTATCGCTGCGACCCTATAATTTTTACTCGAGTTAGATTAACTTGAATTTGATGTGTCATTCAAAAATTAGAGAAACCTGAATAAATATATTTATGTTTTAATTCTAGAATCAATCACAATTACTTCAGTTTAATGTTTTACTAAAGTATCACCTCAAAACAAGTACAATGTATAAGTAAATTTAGAAAAAGATGCATATAATGAGTATTTTTATAAAAAAAAAATTATACGGGATTATTAAAAAATGTTCATTTCTCATCTCATATTTTTATTCCATCATGACGGTCACTTTGAGAAATGTAATTTAATCATGAATATTCATATAGATTAAAATTGAACAAAACGGGGAAAGATGACATTCTTGTTATAAAATCTCGTTCAAAGAAACCTCACTATCAAATGTCTATTGATTCTAGCAGATCATGGGTCACTAATGTGAAATAACGTAATAGAAGAACAAAGGGTCTCAGCAACAACCAGATTATTCATTTAAGACCGTAAATTATCTTATTTTATCGTGTCGATAGCCTTTTATTCTTTTTAGATTGCGAAAAAAGACTAGCAGTGTGTAATATAAACCATTATTAAGACGTTATTATATTTTGATATGTCATGAAGAGAGGAATAAACATGTACAACGGAAATTTGTATATAAATCTTTATGTTTGAAAAGACAGATGGACAGTGACAGAAAATGCTGATAAAATGATTGACATAAGAATGATTATATAACAGAATTTGGTTAGGTATAAAAAATCAACACAAATCAAGATCAAACTTGGTTGGTGTCACTTTCATTCTCCTTGAGTTTTGTCCTTTTAAATGAAGAAAATTGCTGAATTTGCCATTTCCGCACTCTAACTATAGTTTGCCTCAACAAAAAGTTACGAAACTTATACACAATGCTTATTACAACCACATGCAAATCAAATTTGAAAATGAGTTATGTATGCTCGTGTTTAACTGTATACAGGCATAAAGTTATTGGATGTATTTGTATGTGAAAAAAACATTACATCATACGTAGCAGCACATATGTAATGACAAATATGCAAAATGCTTAAATGTAAAATGACTATCTATATAGCTGTTGCTAGGGAGCTCAATAGCCAGGTTTTATGCTTGCTATGCTTCTATTTCATTGCTAGGTATTTGCTTCGCACTAAGTTAACATGTGAGCATTCAAATTTCAATTGACACATTTATTCAATTTAGTAAAGATACTCATTATTTCAGCATATCCAAGATAAATTAAAAATGTAGTTCCTTGGTAAAAGAAAAGTGTTCATATAACCAAAGAAATATCATTTTGTAAAGTTTCTATACAAAGACGATCCATAAATGAACATGAAGTTAATTACAAATGAGGCTAACATGTTCCTTGAACAACATTTTTCTTTCCTTTCAATTTGAACATATCGCAATACATGCTAGTCCTTTAAACATTGGTCGCTTGGAAATATAGTTTGGAAATAGTACTGCCTAGTTTGTTTATGCTAATAGTTGTCGTGTTCAGCTAAATATTTTATAACTTCATCGTGACCTTGTTTCTTGGCTATACTTAATGCGGTTTCGTTCCATTGCTTGATATTGGAAGTACTAGCTTTATGACGACTATATAATAATTCCACTATTTTCAAATATCCTCCCTTACAAGCCACATGTAACGGCAATTTCTTATGTCTGTCGCACATATTAATATCAGCTGTATTATCTAACAGGAGTTTTACAACTTTGTAATGGCCCTTTTCGCATGCAACATATATGGGAGATTTTTTATCTTCAGTTAAACTGTTTATATTAGCACCCTTTATGATTAATGTATTAACGATTTCCTCGCGTCCTTCGGCGCACGCTATGTAAACTGGAGCTGTCCGATTCCAATCCAATTTTTCAATTATTTCCTTATTTGCCTTTTCAATTAAAATATCTACTATTTCGGTGTGTCCTTTTTCACATGCAATGAATAAAGCAGTGCGTCCATCAGTATCTGAGTGTAAAATATCTGACCCTTCTTCGATAAGACACCTTGTCGTCTGTTTATGTCCATTCTCGCATGCAGCCAGAAGAGGGGTAAATCCTCTTTTGTCTGTATCTTGCAGATTTTGCTTTTTGTCGAATTGCAACAGAAATTTAACCACTTGTATTTCCCCGTTTAAAGAAGCAATTATAATCGGCGTTTGCCCTAAATTATCAGACCGATAAAGTTCTTCCTTTTTTGCCTTTAAGAGAAGTTCAACAATTTCTATTTTGCCCGATGCACAAGCCATATGAAGAGATGAACATCCTTTCACATCACATGCAGAAATATCAGCTTCTTTGTCAATCAAATATTTTGCTATATCTTTGTGTCCTCCTTCACAAGCCATGTGTAAGGAAGTCGTTTTGTTATTGTCGGATAAAGTGATGTCCGCTTTATCTGGTTTATTTTCTACTAGTCTTTTAACAATTTCAAAGTGGCCTTGTTCAGACGCAACATATAATGCAGTTCTTCCATAATTATCTTTTACATTAACGTTACAATTCATGCTGAGTAAGAGATCTACCATGTGTTCATACCCTTGCGATGAACAATCGATCAAAGGAACTTTTAAATCAAAGTCAATTATATCCTGGCGAGGGAGTGACTTTTTGTCGGTTTTATCACTCTTAATATTACCAAGTAGTTCTTTGAATTTTAAGTCCCTTTGTCTGCAGTATTTGATAAACAATTTTCTGTACGATTCGTTCTTCAGCTGAATATTTTGAAACGTGCTATAGCTACTTCCATGTTCTAAATCTCTAAATAGTCGATCAAAATATAATTTCTGGTATTTAGTTTTGAATGTTATCAACCCATCATTTTTTTCACAAAAACTATACCGTCTGGCTATAAAAGAGCTTGGTGCATGATTAATAAAGCATCGTTCATAAGACTCTCCACATAAAACTGATGCAATTTTGAAAATTTCGTCATGAATGTGATGATAGGTGTCACCAGACTTACTAAGCCAGTCCATTTGTTTCTTGTCAAACTGGTTTTGAATGAGCTTCCGATCGATATCGTTTGTTATATCTAAACTGAATTCTAAACACATTTCACTTATGGCGTTCTTTATACGAATATCGTCTGGCTCACAATTTAGGTTTAGCCATTGTGTTTTAAATTTATTATTGAATAGAGTGCATAAGGCTATTGCACAAAACTGAAGACTGTCGTCTGTCTGAACATTTTTTAAGTCCGTTTTGATAGTTTGAAGTGGATCCCAAAAGAGGCTATTAATTTCATCTATCAATTTTCCTTTTGATAACTTGCAAAGAAGTGGGAAATCGAATTTCAAATGTTCTTTTTTACATACGTAATTTTCCATCTGTGCATTTGGAGCATATTTCTTAATCATGTTTTCTCTCTCCTCCTTTTCCAATGGGAATTCAGATAACTTACATACAAAAGTATTTACACGTTTTTGCAAATGTTCAAAAATGGAGCTCTTGTAAACACTCGTGTTACAAGAAATCATAATTTTTGTTTTTGTTTTTTTTACTTTCTGTATACCATGTTCAATGTAATCCTTTTGATTTATTATATTCAAAATTTTGTCTATATACAATTTCCAAACATCAGTGAGTTGACTATTTACTTTGTCTTTCCCACAAAAATCGTCTAATAAAAAAATCTGATTTCGCCTCTCGTTATAATATTGTAAAACATTTATTGGTTCTACTACAACAGGAATTATATCGAAATCTTCAGCTTCGTTTTCCATAACAAGCGTCGTTGCAATGTGACGAAGTATTGACGATTTCCCACTTCCAGGACGACCAACAACAAAAACGCAGTTACTTCCCTTTAGACGCTCAGATACAATTTGTGAGGCTCTTGTCTCAATAAACATCTTGTCATTCTTATGCCACTCTTGTATCAAATTTTCATGAAACCCTAAAATGATACAAAAAGTATGAAGAAATTATTATTCTTACATAATTAAATATTAATTATATAATTAACGTCGGAATAATTCCCTTAGTATAGATTGGGATTATCTTAGCCTCAAATAGTTATGCGTTTGACTTTATCAATATGTCTTGATATACTTCACATTAAATGTCTTGTACTGTCGTTTGTTACCAACATATTCATTTTACTGTACTTCACTGTTGCGTCCTTATTTGCTTATATGAGATTGCTCTATGTCATTGAAATTATCTGTTGGTCAAAACTCATAATCCTGGTATCTTGAGTTTATTCTTAAGATCCAAAATATTTCACTCAAGACAACCTATCCTTATAACTATTACGTTTTGTATTTCAACGGCCCTTCTAATTTTTTATTCCATTTGAAGTATTTTTATAGTAGGCGTTGTAAAATGGATGCGAGCATAACGAGTGTCTATCAAATAACCTCCGTCGTCCGGTAAGGATTTAATTTGGCCAAAATATGAAAGATTAGAGAACATAAACACTACACAGGCCCAAATAGATTAGTCAAAATCGTCTCTGGTCAACGTTGTCTGAGCGATTAGCAACCTTTTTTTTTTTGGCATAATTGCACAATTCTCTAAACAGGAAATTTTTAAAAGGTTACATTTGAATCATTCATAAATGGACAATATGTCTTGACTGCAATTACTGTTGTTAGTGTATAAGTGTATAAGGCATATGTTTATTGCCTTAAAATAAGAAACTCCCATAGTCTTCAGTCTATTTAAAAATAGTTTGAACAGGTTGATATTCTCTACCCTTTAAACTAGTACTAGCTATTATAAATCTAAATACAGATTGAAATAATCAGTCAAAATTTGTTTCATCAAAAACAATTACCAACGTAAATACACCTATTTTGTTTTAGGAAGGGATACATCATACTTTACAAAAAGAACCCACTTTGGTTAAAAAAAAATCATTTCTTGGAAAAAGGCATCAACAAGATGCTAGATTTTTGTTATTGACAACATTTTTGTTTCATTTCTACGACGTGTTTTGTTTTCAACATCTTTCGTTTTTGCAATGGTGTTCATTCGACATATAAGTTTTGAATGATCTCTTTGTATCTCCCCCCACTTTTTTACTTCTGTTTTAATCGATCACACCTGCGAATGTATCCATAATATAATTTGAATGTAAAAGACATAAAAATGAGAAGATACGGTATGATTGCCAATGTGACAACTCTCCACCAGAAACTAAATGACGAGAAGTTCGCAACTATAAGTCACTGTATGGCCTTCAACAATGACCAAAACCAATACCGCAAAGCAAGTGAATCTATCAGTTTACGGATACATAAAACAATACATATTTACAATATTTTTTCTTAATTTCTTTTCGCTTGATCATGAGTCAGCTTTATTTCAGTTTTCATAAAATTGAAATTCAATGAAGGATTCACCAAGCTATTGATTACTTTAAATATTTAACCACACACTGGACCTAAATACTGAAGATGCAAGCGACGATTTTAGAGTGTCGGATTGCCATGTTTCGCCTTCGCGACCTAGAGAAAAAAGACAAATGATCCCGTCTTTTTTTATTTCCCCCAAAATGATCTGAAAATATCATCAACGGAACTCTCTTAATTTGTATCGATAAGTTTTTGTATTTATCATCGTGAAATTCCTTTCATCTATACAATATTTATAGGATATTCCAATTTAGAAACTTACTGTTTTCGGAATAAATATTTGCAACCTTCATTGTTAAATGCGTTTTGAATTACTATTGCTGATATAATGTGAAGTTTGAATTTAATCGGTTAAAGCGAGGTTTTTCTTAAATAAGTAGGCTGCATTTTAATTAAAACAAATACTTTAAAACAAATAAGGAGATGTATAATGATTGCCAAATAGACAACAATCTGAAGAAGTCCATATCAACTATGGTGGATATATGCAATTATCGGTCACCGGATGGCCTTCGATAATGAGGAAAATCCATAACGTACAGTATACTCAGTTATAAAAGGGCACCCTCATGAAAAATGTAAAAAAAATAATAACTGCCTTATTTATCACAATACAAAATAAGATAAACAAATATGCCATACAGAAAGCAACAACAACCACTAAATTAAAGACTCCAGACTAAGGTCAGGCACATAAAGAATGTGGCGGGGTTAACATAATTGTGAGCGACCAAACCTTCCCTAACTTGTGAAAGTGGCGTAGCAAATAAAGAAAAAGAAAAAAAAACTGTAAAAATTACTTACTTTTAACTTGGTTTAATTCCTGAATAACTGTCAAGCGAAAGTTTTTATCAACATCAAGACTTACCTACTTTCATTGTTTTATCAAATGCAAATTGTTGCATTATTCTGTATGACCAATACTCGTGAAATTATGTTTAATGACTAAGAAGATCAGCTAAACTTGTGGAAATGAATAGATAAAAAAAAGCTTTACGACTACTTAATAAAAGAGGAAACAACATCAATAATACATTTAGTTATTCTTAAAATGAAAAAGTATAAGATTTGATAGTTTTTCATTAGGATAACGTTGCCCCGTTGTGTTTGTTTAAGTTTTTAAATAAATTTACACTCAGGAGATGAGTGTGATCTAAAATGAAGTTGAGACTTTAGTCTCTTATTAAATGGTGTAAACCTGTAGATTTTTTTACTCCTACCAAAATGCACACTTGAGCGTCACTCGTTATATAGGGCGGGACAAATTATCATGAAAGAATAAGTAACGGTGATCAGGTATTTCGATCAGGAAAAATTGAACGAAATTATATTAGGAAGACACATGCAAGATCGGTATTCAATCCATTTTTTTGAATTAAAAGAACATATTCTTAAAAAGAAATTAATAGGTCTGCCAACATTGTACAACATTATGATTAGTATATGTGTGTGAGAAATCAAAGTTCAAACATTCAAAAAATCTGCAAAAAGGCAAATACCATACATGATATAAACAAACCTACGATTTTTTGAAGTATAAAGGATAAAAGACAGAATTAAGTTTTTTCTGAATATGAAAAATGTTATTTCAAAGACTCCTACTCCTTAAATTGCTTTGCAGTAGCTTAATCACCCTGTGTGAAAAAGCAGAATATTCATTTTAGTTTCACGATCTAGTACTTCATTTGCAGGACCGTGAATCTGTTGACAAAACAAGTACGGCTAATTTGTTTCATTAACATACTTGAAAGAGTTCCAATAAACGATAATATGGCATTGAAGTTGGTATAATTGAAGACTTAACTGATACTACTTATTCTTGTTCATGTTTGATTGGGAATATGGTTTCAATGATTTAATTTCTTTGGATTTGTGTCCTTCTTATAAGCTTTAAATTTTACACACAGCTCCATACAATCACCACACCTAGTTGACAAACTACGTCACTCGTAAATAATTGTCTGTCGTAGGCGTAGCTTAAAAATACTCTGACAAAAAATTCCAATACGACAACGATAGAATTGTGATAGGTTCATTCAAATTACAAATTAACTATAATTATTGATATGTCCAATAAAAAGACGAAGATACCAAGGAATCAAAAAAATACTCATCAACTACGTACAAATTTATGGTAATCAGAAAATGTTCACTGTAAAATTCTAATGTTGCGAAAGTCTTAAGTCAGTAGTTTGTATAGTTATACAATGAATACAATGATAGGCAAAAATGAACAGAAAAAAAAAAGATTCAATCATTTAAAATTGCATAAATTCAAAGCAATATTGTTATGAGTTTCTTTTCGATATAAAATTACATAACTGTAATATATGACAGTTTAAAGCGACCGTAGAGCTAGTAACATTATTTTGGGTTTCAATGAACAAAATCCCTTTGGGTGTAAAAGCAAGAAACTACCAAACCTAGCAAACCCCAATTTGAGAAAGTGTTTGATTTCATCTTTATATCGTGTATCAAAGTTTGCAAATAACTGATTCACTGATACCATCATTACATATTTCGTTGTTTTACAGAGCAAACCGGATCTATTTTTTTCTTAAAACATGGACATTATAAATAAGAAGATGTGGTATGAGTACCAATGATACATTTCTCCATCCAATGTATAAAAAGTTAACAATTATAGGTCCAAGAACGGCCTTCAACACGGGGCCTTGGCTCACACAGAACAGCAAGCTAAAAAGGGCACCAACATGACTAGTGTAAAACAATTCAAACAGGAAAACCAACGGTCTAATCTATATAAAAAACGAGAAACGAGAAATATCTATGAACCACACCAACAAATTACAACCACTGAACAACAGGCTCCTGACGTAGGACAGGTGCATAAAAATGCAGCGGGTTTAAACATTTTAACAGGCGCCAACCTTCACCCTAACCTCAGACAGTAGTTTGACATTACAACATAAAAAACACACTATAAAATATCAATTGATATGGCTTAACTCGATCAAATAGACATTCAAAAACAAAAACAAGTAAACATACCCTGAACGAATAAGTTTGATCTATGACACAATATAAATACAAAATCATTTGTTTTATTTATAATAAAAGGTACATACTTCTTTCTGTTTCCGGTATCTTATCATTGAATGTTTTTTCTAATTCTTCTTCGAATTCTTCTCGATAATTACCATCTGCTGTTGGAATAAAACAGAATAAATATCAGAACTTATGCCAAAAAAACTAAATACATTATTTCGTTTGAACTTTCTTGATAATTTAAAAATTGATTTCACTAACTACGAATCGCGATTTTAATGTATCATCACAACTAGCTAAATCATTCTTGCACCAAATACTTTACAATTGTCACTAGTTCCTGGAAAGAATAAAAATTTATTTTCCCCTGCAACTGTAGTCTTAGAATTAATAGATAAAAACAATTCCAAACCTTAGAAATAAACAATCACCATTATGTTATTATATCAATAATCATCTCTCAAATGTAAGAGGGATTGAAATACAATCGCTTTTTTGTTTGTTTTTTCATATATGTCTTGGTATTAGGTTGAGACATGCGTACAAACGTATGGCCAATATTACCCTGCGACTTTTTTGAATGCCCATTTAATTAAAAGGAATATATAATAATATAAGATTATATATTGTTGTTTATTGTAAGTCTTCAAAAAACTTAACAATAACATAAAGACATAAGTTCTGCTTTATCCGTAAACATTTCAAACTTACAGCGATCTGAGTATGACATTATGAAAAGGACAAAATTATGAGTAATGTCCCTTATTAAACTTTAGTAATAAAATTATTATTAATATAGATTCTGTGGCATTTAAAATAATTATTTACATCTGGTGGCATTTAAAATAATCATTTACATCTTTAACATATTATTTTGATATTCATACCTTGAGTTTTTTCAATTTTAACCGCAAGTTCCGGATATCTTTTGTGAATAACATTTGTAAATTCTTTGTAAGCTCCAGGACCACGATTCCACACAATTTCCAACAGTGCTTTATTACCTTTTATCCGCCCTAGGCATGCGTGTATCTTGTTTCTTTCATGTTCAGATATTGTTAACTCCTTTACTATTTCCTTGCTATTTATTGTTTTAATTATAGCATCAAAGTTAACTTTCAATTTCATTTTGAACATAGATTGATCTATAAAAAAAAATATTTTAGTAACAAGCACATATATTCCCAATCAAGATGTGTGTAAAATACTATAATACTGAAATATGACAATCTGAAAGTTATAAAGAATGCAGATTGTGTTTTTGTATTATTATATTATTTTTACATTCGCGATAACAATTGGATATACCAATGATTTTTCTCATGTCTATATCTATTTTACATTGCTATACGACGTGTCTCGGTATTTCGTACATCCAACATTCATGTTTTTATTTTTGATGTTTCTGTTATGGTTTCGGTTGAATAATGTGTTTTGTCTTATCGTTTGTTGTCCAAATAATTATAACATTGCCTTTCAATACCATCATTGTCATATTCCCGAATATGACTGTTATATCGAGTGTGAATTTGCATTGCTATACGACGTGTTTCGGTATTTTGTACATCCAACATTCATGTATTTATTTTTGATTATTTGTTATGGTTTCAGTTGGATAATCTGTTATGTCTTATCGTTTGTAGTCCAAATAATTATAAAATTGCCTTTCCATAACATCATTGTTATAAAAATTGTTTGGACGAGTATTGTTAAATAATTGTATAAAGTTCGAGATTTCATGTTAGTTACGCAAGCGCGTCACTGTTTTTGATATCCTGTGGTGTTAGTCGTAGATGGAATATGTTCGTTGTTGTTCTGCGGTTTGCATGTTTTGTCTACTATTATATTATTTGTTTGTGCGTTTCTCTGTGATGAATGTTCTTGCATGTGTTTGTGCTGTATTTCTTTCACGTAGTGTTGTCATTTTAGCGATATATTTTTTTTTAACATTGTCATAAAGCGGGAGGTTTGGCATGCAATTAAACCAGGTTCAACCCACCATTTTTTTGTCGAGCCTGCGACTTTTGTCGCAGAAAGCGCGATATAGGGATAGTGATTCGGCGGTGGCTGTGGCGGCGTTAGCTAACTTCTTAAAAGCTTTATATTTTAGAAGCTAGAAGACCTGGATGCTTTATACTTTGTATATAGATGCCTTATGTTACGAAGTTTCCGTCTGTCATATGTCCATTGTCCTTGACCTCATTTTAATGGTTCAGTGACTACTTGAAAAAAAGTCAACATTTTTTGTAATGTTAATTTCTTTCTTATTATGAGTAATAGGATAACTATATTTAGTATGTGTGTACCTTGCAAGGTCCTCATGCCTATCAGACAATTTTCATTTCATAGATCAGTGAACAAGGTTAAGTATTCGTGGTCAAGTCCATATATCAGATACTATAAGCCGTAGGTCTACTATATTTGGTATATGGAATGATTGTAAGGTGTCCAACTGGTAGGTGTCATCTGACCTTGACCTCATTTTCATGGTTCAGTGGTCAAAGTTAAGTTTTTGAGTTTTGGTCTTTTTTTCTAATACTATATGCAGTAGGTCAACTATATTTGGTGTATGGAAATATTTTATGATGTACATGTCAGTCTCGCAGGTTTTATTTGACCTTGAACTCATTTTCACGGTTCATTTCTCAGTGTTAAATTTATGTGTTTTGGTCTGTTTTTCTTCAACTATAAGCAATAGATCAACTATATTTTTTGTATGGAAGGATTGTAAGGTGTATATATCTGTCTTGCATCTTGTCATCTGACCTTGACCTCATTTTCATGGTTCATTGGTCAATGTTAAGTTTTCATGGTTAAGTTTGTTTCTTAGATACTATAATCAATAGGTCAACTATATTTAATGCATACATTGATTGTAAGGTGTACATGTCTGTCTGGCATGGTTCATCTGACCTTGACCTCATTTTCATGGTTGACAGGTCAATATTAAGTTTTCTTGGTTAAGACTGTTTCTTAGAAACTATAAGCAATAGGTCAACTATGTTTGGTTTATTGAATGATTGTAAGGTGTATATGTATTTCTCGTTTGGTTTATCTGACCTTGACCTCATTTTCTAGGATCATGTTAAGTTTATGTGTTACTTGTAGTAAAGCTTTATATTTAGGACTATCAACATAAAATGAATGGTTAGTAAAGAAGGCGAGACATTTCAGCGTGTGCACTCTTGTCTTAAAATAGCCTGTACCAAGTCAGGAATATGGCAGTTGTTATCAAATAGTTCGTTTCTATGTATGTTGGCGTTTGTTTTTGTTGCACTTCAGTGTTCCTGTTGTTCTTTAGTTTTCCTCTTATAGTTGATGTGTTTCTCTCGATATTAGTTTGTAACCCGAATCTGTTTTCTCTCAATCGATTTATGACTTTCGAACACCGGTATACTACTGTTACCTTTATATATGGCGTGCAATACGATATTTCTCATATGTGACCTAATAATTATAAATATTTTACACATTATCGTATCATACACGATGCATTGATATGCTCTATATTTAAGTTCATTTGATTGATAAATCAACAAGTTGATTATGACACTTATATGTCAGTTCCATTATATTGAAATCATTGGGAGAGCAACCCAAATCTAGAGAATAACGACGAGGAAATGCATCACTCGGCTAAAGAAAGCTGTATTTCTATATAACATAGTTGACTGAGTTGTCTTGGTTGCTGTTCATGTATAAGGTACAGACGAAGTTGCCATAATTTAACAGAAACATATGTGCAAATACCGCTTAAAGTACGTTATACATTACCCTTTTTTTTGCAATGATAATTAATTTATAATACAAAAACTGTTACAACTACCTCATTGGTATAGCTTTAACGAACATGGTGCCAATATATATTTATAAATCTAAGAACAAGTGTCTTAGAGATAAAATTACATTCTGATTGTTAGAAAGTTAACTAGTTCCGAGTTATCTCATTAGCAATCATACCAGATCTTGTCAGTGTTTTTTTTTCTCCAAACATTCACTCAATCTAATAAGATCTTTATTTCAATTAAGTTTGTGTGTGCTTTAATAATACATTTATCAAGTTTGTTATTACTATGTTTGTTTAAAAGCTGTATATAACAATCTGAAATTAATGCACTATCTGGTCATTACATTAGTGTACTGGTAAGTTTTATTATTACTAGTATTATTACCTTTAGTTTCATAGGTTTTGATATTGAAGGGTCACATATAGAAAATATAACTCATCGTACTTCTTTTTGTTTGCTGTAAAGGCAACACTAGACCGATCAGTAGTGAATTATCTGTACGAAACGTACATTATTTATATGATATATATATATTATATATTTATGTATAAATATCCTACTGTAATTTAGAAACCAGACGAATTCTTTCAAAGTAAGTGTGACTTTACTTAAAATGAAGTATATTTGTAATTCAAAATTCCAAGTGACCATTTCCCTTACCAATGAGTCTTTCGTTCACTTTCTTCTCAATGTCAGTTACCATCATATGACGATTTTCTGTAATATCAAAACACAGTGAGTTGACATTATTGAATTGTTATTTGGAAAAAGAGTGATTTAGGAACGTATCACTTACAAGTCAGAGACATCTATATTTTGTACTTTATCACTTTCGTATGATATGCATTCGTCAATTACGAATTATCGTATATTTTGTCTTACGTATAATAATAAACGCCTACCGGAAATAATAGATTAAGCATTATTCATCATCCAACTGTACCTTGCATTAAACTGAGTCTTTAAAAGCATTTTGTTTCTCAGCTTAAGTTTCTTTTAAAGTGTTATTATTACTATGTAGTTGGATAGAATACAAAGTAATAGAGAATCTTTACATGGATGGATATATAGTAGAGTTTCGAGATATAATTAGTTTCAACGTAGAGTTTGTAAAAGTCGTATCATGAGACACTTTTCTACTGCTGTGACTGCATGGTTTATATTGTAAGTCATTCTTTATGACTGCAAAATAAAACAGCTTATGTGCACTATGTATTGTGTTGCATCTTAAATCAATAAAACGCCCTGTTCAGTGTAACAAGTCCTAAGAATGTCAATGGATTAATGCTATATTGGTATATAACCTTGTTGACCGAGTTGTCTTGGTTGCTGTTCATGTAAACGATGAAGATAAAGTTGCCATAATATATCAGAAACATAGGGTCAAATACCGCTGAGAGTACGTTACACATTATCTTTTTCAATTGACAATGATAATTAATTTAATAGCCTGAAACTGCTACAACAACCTTAAAGTTATACAGCTTTCACGAAAGGTGCCAATATATATTAATAAATCTAAGAACAGGTTTCTTAAAGATACAAAATGTATTTTGATTGTTAGTACGTTACGTAATTCAAATACGTCTCATTGACAACCTTACCAGATCTTCTTATGTGTGCATGGATTATCCATGTATATCGTTCCTTGTCGGTGTTATTTTCTCGCTAAACATTCACTCAGTCTAATAAATTCTTTGTTTCAATTAAGTTTGTTTGTTTTTTTAATATTATACTTATCAAGTTTGTTATTAATAAGTTTGCCTCAAAATCGTATATTACAATTTGAAATGAATGCACTATCTGACATTTATATTATTGTACTGGTCAGTCTTGTTATTGATTTTATTATTACTCTTTTAGTTTTATGGGTTTTGATATTGAAGGCTCACATATAGAAAATATTACACATCGTACTATTTGTTTTGACGTGGAGTCAACATAAGATGGAACGAAATTGTAATTAATCTGATCGTAAAATACATTATAAATATTGTAAATAATTTTACTGTATATAAGAAACCAGTCGAAACTTGCAAAATAAATGTGACTATTGTTCAAAAAGAAGTATACTTGAATTTAAAAATTTAAAGTGACCATTTTTCTTACCAATCAGTTTTTCGTCCAGTTTTTTCTCAATGTCAGTTTCCATCTGTTGAAGATTTCCTGCAAAATTGAAAGTTCGATAAGCATGGTTGAATTGTTATTTGTTATTGGTTTAGGAGCTATCAACTACTTAGGGTTTTAAAAGATACATCTATAATTTGTGCTTCGTCTCTTTTGTATGATATAGACTCATCACTTATGACTTATTGTATATTTTTCATACGTATGATAATATATGCATAAATGATATTATGGATTAAGCTCTGTTCATCATCCAACTGTACCTTGCGTTAAATCGAGTTTCTGTTTCTCAGCCTTTGTTTATTTTACAGTGTTATTATCACTTTTAGTCTGTTTCCTTTCTTTTGAATATACTGTTGTTGTTACATATAATCATAGTGTTACCCTTCCTATTTAGGCATGGTTATGCATTGCTCTCTAAATATGTGTATTTCCCATTAACTTGAATTCAACAATATGTACACATATTTCTGTTTCTTTAAAGACTATTTCTTAGTGTTTTGAGAACAAAGAATCACAATTGTGATCTTCACTTCACCTGAGAAATCTGAACTCGTTACATTGGGTCTAGAAATGGGTTTATTTAGTCTTAGATGCATGATTTTTTTTATTATTTGTTATTGGCTTTGAACTAGCTGTCAGTAACTGCGAGCACTCTCAGAAATGTACTTATTGTCTTTTTGGTGTTGGGATGTATAAGTACCCGGCCACGTCCACACCTTGTTTTTGTTAAATGAATTCCTATTTGTATCCTTCTGATGGGTTAAGCCTTTATTCAACTGATTTTTATAGTTCGTTCTTATGTTGTACCTTAACACCACTGTCCCAGGTTCGAGGAGATTTGGGATCCCGCTAACATGTTTAACCCCGCCACATTCCGTATGTATGTGACTGTCCCAAGTCAGGAGCCTGTAATTCAGTGGTTGTCGTTTGTTGATGTGTTACATATTTGTTTTTCGTTCATTTGTTTGTACATAAATTAGGCCGTTAGTTTTCTCGTTTGAATTCTTTTACATTTGTCATTTCGGGGCCTTTTATAGCTGACTATGCGGTATGGGCTTTGCTCATTGTTGAAGGCCGTACGGTGACCTAAAGTTGTTAATTTCTGTGTCATTTGGTCTCTTGTGAAGGGTTGTCTCATTGGCAATCATACCACATCTTCTTTTTTATATTAAATTATCTTTTAGATATCAGTTTAATGGTAAATTCAGTACTGCTTTTGACTTGCAGTCAAATTAGTTATGTTCTGTAGCTTTTCAGGCAATTCAGCATCGAACAGATCTTAATGCCTGCAAATGATGTGTCTGAACTGTAATAAACTTACTGCAGTGCTTAAGTCTGAAAATTCCCTAAAAGAATGAACAGTAATTATAAACTAAATATCAATTTTGTATGCCTTTTCAGATAAAAACGGCCGTTTCAGTGCTAAATCCATTACCTAGAATATGAAAGTCGTGACAATATTTGATGAGATATCAATAAACAACGAACATTTGTTTAGCGTTAGAAAGTATTACAGAACAGATAAAATCTTATATACATGTATTATTAACTTACTACAACAGTTTATCATTTCTTTACCCCGTTTCCAGAGGACTATAATCAAAATTACACCTGCAAAACAATAAGAAGCATTTAAATTTATTATTGACTTAAAATTCATTTTTTAAAACAGAAAAGTCAAGCATTATCGTTCAATAAATTTGGAAAACATTTATCATGCACAGAGAGAGTAGCGGCTTAAAAATAATTACAGGCTATTTCAACCCAGTGATGTAAAATTTTGAACAAAACCTGCATTTACCCTTATATGTTTTCAAAAGTAAAGAGAGGTCTGGTAAACAATTACGTTTATTAAAATAGTAAAATTGACCAGTATGTAAGAACAATGACGTTTTATACATATTTGATACGAACACCAAAAAGAACATCAACAGTTAAATTTGCATTTTTAGTCACATTTCTTTTGAGCACACATTATGAACCATAAAACATAAAAATTAGAAGATGTGGTATGATTGCCAATGCGACAACTCTCCACAAGAGAATATAAACATGTCTGGCAATAAATTGTTTAAGTTAAATTTTCGGATAAACGTGCCGCACATTGCACCATATATGATCTACTGCTCCATCCCGCCCTTCTTATTTATGTGACTTTTAACCGGATATTTTTGCAAAATGAGCAACAAAATGTGTTCAACTTTAAGAGCGGGAACTGATTTCCTTTCCGGAACACCTGAGATCCGCTCCCGTTTTTTGTTCTTTTCATGGATTTCTCAAGGTGTTGTTGGTAATTTTTTTAGTCTTCATTCCTATGTTGTTCTAACATCCTCAGATCAATTCCAACTGTGATTTTTTGATATTTTAAATTAAAAAACTAAAAAAATCTCATTTGTTTCTTAATCTTGTACGAGTCTCGTTTTTTGTACAAAAATCTCATAATTGGAACTTAAATAAACAAGACCATACCCAGTCTAGAACTGCGTCGCTCCATGTAATTGATTGAGTACCATGTAAACTGAAGCATAAATAACTGACCATTCCCTTTCATTGAAGCCAAGAAATCACTGAATCACTGAATTTTTCTTGTACAATGAGTGATGAAAAAACCATACACTGTAAAAATTTCTTACTCGTTACAACTATTAATTATCAAACTGCATAACTAAAAATAAAATCATTCTCTTTCATGAAGCCAAGAAAACTTTGACGAACGAATTCTTTAAGCGGAAGTTCGGACGGACGGCAAGACGGACGAATGGAAAGACGGACGGATTGAAAGATGGACGGAAAGACGAACGAATGGAAATACGGACGGATGGAAAGACGGACGGATGGAAAGACGGACGGAGTCTAGGTGTTATTAGAAATGCTTCAGCCGTCAGCGACGCAGGTAAACATGTTAGGGGTCCAAACCTATTAAGGAGTTGAAAACCATTGAAACCAAAAATTCCTAAAATAAAATTTTTCAAATTTAGTTAGGCCATATAAACACTCCTGTGTTTAAAATTTTTTTAAAAAGTATTTCTAATGATTTTAAAGTTTTATGACCAGTAAATTTTCAAAAATGCTAACTACCAGTCTAGTTATACAGTCAAAAACGTCCACCATCTGTAACATATACAAACTGACCCAGTGGTTATAAAAAAACTCATCATAAATTCCAGGATTAAATTGATAAGTATGACAATATCATGATAATTCATGTCAACATAGAAGTGCTGACTACTGGGCTGGTGATACCCTGGGGGGAAAACTCAACCAGCAGTGGCATCGACCCAGTGGTTGTAAAAGAACTCTTCATAGATACCAGGATTAAAATTTTGTACGCCAGACGCTCGCTTCGTATACAAAAGCCTCACCATTGACGCTCGAATCAAAAAGTTAAAATGACCAAATAAAGTACGAAGATGAAAAGCATTGAGGAATCAAAATTTTGGCAAAATACAGTTAAGGTAATCTATTTCTGGGGGTAGAAAATCCCTAGTATTTCAAAAAAATAAAATAAAAAACTCCAAATACTGGGCTTATAATTTTCAAATCAAATATTCGTAACATAGGAAGGTTTGCCATTCTGGGTATATTTAAACTCTTCTCTCTTGCTATTTTTTAGTCTAATAACTGTGAAAAGATATAGCTTGAATAATTTCAACCGCCATGTATCATTGTTACCAACATTTGTTTTCGTCTGTTGTCCGCATATTTTCATTTAAATATAAAAAGGAATACAGAACACAGAATTTCACCATTATTTATTCGATTATATATCTTCTTAAGATTTCTGCTTACAAACAAATTATTGAGCCAAAAGGTAAAAAGTTAAATTTATTTGATCTAAACATATTAACGCAGGTGATTAAAAACATAGTACTTAAATAAAAAAAATAAACTATAAACCTTGAGATGATCATTGAAACTTCAATATCCGAAACAATGCTGTTTTTTTAACAAAGTAGTACACCCTGTATGCTATACAGCTGCTTACTTTGAATGGGATCATTTTATATGTATCGGTATTATGTTGGTATTTAAAGGTCAAACATTCAACATAACCACGAACATGGTATTATAAGATTAAGAAAATAATATGTATATGATCTATAGATGACGTTCTTCCCTGGTACATCTTAAGTGGCATTTGACTTTGTTTTTTTAACAATTAAAAGCTAGGTGAAGGATTTAATCGCATCGGGTAATAAATTTCATATCATTGATCTATCAAAAGACTGAGGCAATAGGACTGAAGCTACAAGTGCCGACACTCCCTGGGCACACGGGATTTAAGTTCTCTCTCTTGTTTTATCTCTGTTCTTTATTAGGATCATGTTAATTTTCTATGTAAACCTTCTAAAGGGTTTTATTGAGTATGTTCGTGGTTTTAATGTTGTTGATTTTTCCTTGACTCATGTTTTCTTTCTGTTCATAATTATATTTTAGAATAAATACTTACTGATTCCAGTTAGTACTGTTACTGCTATGGCAGGTTGCCTTTTCACAACCATTTGCATTTCTGAGAACTTGTTCAAGCCTTAATTTAAAAAAAATACATATCATAGTTAATGTTTTCATGTTAAACGAAAAGTGCCGTGAAAAAAAAAAAACGTTACCTTTTAAACTTTAATGAATGTATTATTTTGAAAGATAAATAATTAGGAGAGCTCAGTATTACTTTATTCTGATGCTTGCTTTGACAGTATATTTATTTTAAATTAGCAAAACAAAGGTGCAAAAGTTGACTTCAAGTTTTTTAACTTTCACCATCATAAAAATATTAGAAGCTTAAGTTAGCTGAATAACAAGTATCGATTTATAGATATGAAGTTGTATTTTGTACTTAATCTATAACATGTTAGTGAAGATCAAGACTCTAATTAAAATCGATGGATTTTTAAAAGAAATTGCCCAAATGTAGTGTATATCATGTTTTTTTCCAATACATAATTTATAATAATATAAAAAGTATTGGTCACTGAGCTTTATACATGCTACAGGTTGTAACAATTTTGTAAGGATTATACTTGGAAAAACCAATTTTGTATAATAGAAAGAAACTTTAAGATCAAATGGAAAAAAATAATTGTTTTTAACAACCAGTCTTTGATAAAACCACGCAAAAGGCTTATTAGTGGGTCCACATGACATGTCAACCAAATAATTTCAAATGTAATGAAATTTTGCACATATAGTCAAAAGAAAAAAAGTTCAAACTTTAAAATTTGATCTGAGGCTATATTTAGATTTTGCAGCGCCATCTTCTGAAAAAGGCTTAATTTCCAAAAATATCCATTTGAATGTCAAATTTGTGTTGCTCTGAATATGCTCGATATGGTTATGTTGCGCTGGTATTTGAATTGATTTTTATTACGAGCATTATTCGTCCTTCGAAACTTGACAAAATTTTATAGTTTGAGTATCGCTATATTTTGGGGTTTACAAAACGGAATAAAAATGTGTAATTTTCACGTATTTTTCTCTATAATCAGTGTATTTAAACATGACAACTGTTTTCATATTTTGACACTGGCTTATGATATATGCCATGAAGGTGTATTACAATAAGACATTGTATAGCATAACATCACTATCGTCAAATGAGCTTGACCTTGATCCGAGGTCAAAATACTTGATTTTTTTACATTTTCTTGTCCGGAGCATACCTTTTTTTCTCCTTTGACATAGGCTTTTGTATTTAAAAAAACAAGTTCAGCACCTCAATAAGATGTATCGCGTACCATGGATGAGGACCTTGACTTTGGCCTATAAGGTCAAATAAAAGGTCAAGGTAAAATAATTAATTTTTATATGTCACCATTGATTGCCAATGACACTACTATCCACCAGAGTTAAAATAATGTGGAAGTAAGCAATAACATGTCACAGTACAGTCAAGACCTTTGCAGGTCATGCCCGGTGCCCTCGTATCTCTTACACATAGTTAATCTTAATTTCCTTTCTAAAACCTTTCTAGTTCACAATGGAGGACATTCCTCGTCCCTACATACCATTAATGGTAAAATAGCTAGAAATCTGACCATATCCCTACCTGTAAACCATGTGTACATTCTTAATCAGCATGACAGAACATTTGAGCACACCCTATATATTTTAGCTGTGTCCATGCGCATTATATGATACACTATTCAGATCCACACCTCTAAACTATATAAAAGTATGTATGTACCATTAATAGACCAATTAAGTGCACCATTCATTTTATCCCTAATGCCCTACCCCGTCGTATCATGTATACTATATATTCCTATGTATTATTTGTGATCGCTTTGGATAGTATACTCGTAATTGATGGTAAACAGTAGATACGTGTTACTTCTAAGTATACTTATGTTTATTATATAACACAAACATGGCAAAGGACGCAAAAATAATTGAAAGTAAAAGAAATAATAAACTAACTGATTTTGGGAAAAAAAAGGGGTGGGCTAAAAAAAATTGTCCTGTCCCCAAGTACCTATGATAATATCACTTCATATTCATGGAGAACATTCCAAATATAAGATTAGTTAAAGAAAATTTAAATTATACTGTTATTGAACATACTACAAAAATGAAATTTCAACTAAGGTCATGTCGCAGTATGGGCCATATAGAGCAAACCACAAGGTGTGGGGTTTCCCAGTTTGTTGGAGATCGTGTGGCGACCTCTGGATGAATATTTTTGGTTAGTTAACGTCTAGGATGAAATGTTGTATCCTGGACATTAATCCAATATCTGTTTGAATTTTGTCCCCCTCAGCACCAGGTTGCAGCCTGTAATATATAAATGATTTACGTCTGTTTGTCCCTCCGACCATCAGTCCTGATGGTAAGTGCTTTAGCATATTTAATCATTATTGAATTTGGATACAATTATGCAGTAGCATTATACAGATAACCTTTGGTCAAGGTTGAAATTGAGCCGTGTTCGCAATTATGTAGACGTTGCACATTGAAAATCTGTTATGTTATTCATATTCCAATAATATTTGAATTTACAGAAATATATTTTGAAGGTCTCGTTCAAAAAGTTTCGGCATACATTCACTACAAACTGCTCTAGGTCTGAAAAGACCATATTTTCTGCTCGACGAGCAAGAATGAGAACAGATTTTACTTGACAAGACTCGACATAATCTCGACAGTACTTAACTGTACTTAACTGTACTCAACTTTGATCTCAACTTTACTCAATAAGTTTGATTGAGTACTTGATAATCTTGGTGTAGTCTGAATATGGTCTCCACCAGTTTCGACATACATTCACTACACACTGCTCTAAGTCTGAAAAGACCATATTTTGTGCTCGACGAGTAAGGTCGAGAACAGATTTTACTTGACAAGACTCGACATAATCTCGACAGTACTTAACTGTACTTAACTGTACTCAACTTTGATCTCAACTTTACTTAATAAGTTTGATTGAGTACTTGATAATCTTGGTGTAGTCTGAATATGGTCTCCACCAGTCTCGACTCAATCTTGACCATTAAATTTAGTCTCGACTGGTCTGAATCAACCCATCTATCTCAACTATATATTGATCTTACAAAATTCCAGGTTGTTTGCTAGTTTGGTTCATTGCTGTCAAATTTAAAGATTTAGTTAATAGCTAAAAAAAAAAGCTAACATTTTCATTTCGGACTAAATTCAGAATGTCAACTTGTAAAATTTCTTAAACTTTTTCAAATCAACTTGGATTTTTATATAACTCTACAGAAATCTCAATTATATATTGGTCTTAGAGAATGCCAAGTTAATTGCTAGTTTGGTTTATTGCTGTCAAATTTAAGGATTTTTAAAATTAAAAGGTACAAAAAGCTATAATTTTCAGTTCAGACTTAATTCAGATAATCACCTAAGTTTGTCTAAATTTTGACGATCTAAGAATCATGTCTAAGTTGTGTGTAAACACCAGCGTTTTTCCTCAAGGGGCCTTCGAAGACCGCGCTACGATCTAACAAAATCGTCCAGATCGTGGAAGATCTTCGAAAGGTCGTTGCGAGGACTTCAGGGGCGTATGAGCAACGTAATGGGGTTGGCATTGCTCCTGGTAGAGCGTGATAAAACTACGACTATTTTGAACATGCTCAAAATTTACGTAGCTAGATTATGGTGTTTAATAGTCGTATTGGTATCGTATCAAGGTCGTAGAAGGAGCATAGTGGTGGCGGTTTCAGCGTAGTAGAGACTGACTATGCTACCCTCATGTTCGAACAACGATTGTTTCACGCTTGTACTACGACGGATTCGCTAAAACTACGATATTATTACGTCCGTGCTGCGAGCCTACTACTGAAATTTCCGCGCTCTCACTATGATCAAAAGGACCACGGTACGTTCTCGCGACGAGGCTCCTGTGACTATTTAACGTCATCGACTCAACTAAAAATACTGCAGTTTTCACATCCATTCTTCTTATCTTCTGAACGTCTGTGTAGTCATATCAGCCAGCCATGAGAGGAAAAAGGAGAGGTTGTCGTGGCAGGGGTTCTACAAAGACATTCAGAGAGCTGTCTGCACCTGAGGAACAACTCAGAGGAAGCTGATCATCCTTTCCTGCCATGGTACTGACCAAACAGGACTGTTCAAATACAATCTTTTAAGTTTGTCTCTTGTCTGCCGTGCTGTCACGGTTGGGTGCAGATACTGTATCCATTTCGGGCATGTGAACCTGATTTCTCTATGCTCCAGGGATCAGTTTGTGCTGATCGTCTTCTTGGTCAAGAACTGCTTTTTGCTGAGCTTGATACCGTGTTGGTATAAGATTATGTAGACTCGCACAAGATTCAATTACATCTCGTATTTTAGCAGGTCCAATCTGCAAAGCGGTCAGCAGAACAACTTGAAATCTTGGGCTGAAATACCGAAAGCATTCTCAACTACACGTCGACCCCTTGAAGTTATGTAGTTGTAGATGTGTTGCTCTTTTGTAAGGCCTCTTTGAGAATAAGGTTTCATGAGAAACGTGCGCAGACCAAAAGCATCATCCCCAAGAACATGAGGAAGAAAGTAAGGCATATCGCTGTCATCAAATGGTAGATGCTCTGGTTCTGGATATGCAATACTGCCATCTTGAAGATATTCCTTCTACTCCGACTCATTAACTATCTGAAAGTCTGACATGGAGCCCAAACCACGGATGTCTACCCACACAAACGTGTACTATGCGTCTATAAGTGCCATGAAGACGAGAGAGAAGAAGCCTTTACATTTGTGATAAAAAGACTGCCATCTGAGTTTTGTGGGCACCTAATAGCAGCATGTTTGTCGTCGAGAGCGCCATAGGCATGTTGGACATTCCACTTGTTTTTGTATTCTTCAGCTATAGGTCTCCACTACTCAGGAGTTGTGAGTTTACATTCTTGTAAACTTTTCTGATGGCACAGCAGACCTCAGACCCGAGAATGCTGATGGGAACGAAGGCAATTCTAAACTGATGCTGAAGAGGAATCGCAGCGTAATTTGCCAATTTAAGGCCGCACTCCAAGGCCGTCCTACAGTAAGGTTTTGCATTCCTGATTCTTGGACCAACTCTGTGCTCATCAAACAAAGCTGGTTCAATTTTCGCAAAGTTGAAGAAGGAATGCTCGTCTTCAATCCTTAGTTGATTCATTAGCTGATCCAAGTCTCCTAAATGCAACCTCCTTTCATCAGAAAGCCATGGCCTGACCAAGACAGTCCTACGTCTCCTCATTCTCATGTTCCTTCTCCTCAGCAGGGCCATTATCATCTGAACTTGAAGGATGCCTCGTTGACCTTGCAATAGGAAAAGGTGTAGTACATCTTTATAGCACATTTTACACGTGCTTCCTCCTCAAAAGCAATATGAAAATGAGAGCGGAGGCCCACAAACTTCCCATACATATAGTAAACGTCCGCCGAGCATGCAAAGTCGTGGAAATAACTCTGCAAAGACGTGATACTCGTTGTAGCAGCGTAATTCTAGCATGATGCGATTTTTCCGTCTCGTAGCATCATCCGGACACAGTCATATATTATCGTAACAATATCGGGCTCGCATTTTTGCCTTTTATCTAGAAAACTACAATAGATAGATAGAAACTTTGAAAACAAAATTGATCAGACAAGAACTGCAAAGGTCAGAATAGATGATATTGTCATTTATCTTCTTAGAATTATTGCTGAAATTAGAAATAATATTTCACTAACAGCTGTCAGTTTGGTTCAATTTTGTCAAAATCAGCTCAAGAACGTTGTAAATGCATCATTAGCTTGCAAGTCAATACATCAACTCATTTGAATCCGCATTCATGCAACTTTTAATTTGTCAAAATGAACAAGCCAGGTAGCCACAAGGAAAAACCATTTCGATGACTGATTCGTTCCAAAAAAATCATTCCTAAACAGGTGAAACGACGATTGTTATAACCTTAAACTAGAAATCAAATAGACATAGAAAAATCGTCATTACACAATTCCAGGTGCTCGTCTGTCTATTTATATTTATTCTCATATCAAGTAGTAAGACTGTCGTCAGTTTTTCGGCGGACATCTCTATGGTTAATTAAATGAGGTCCAGTCTAAAATACGCACGATATTCTTATACATTATTAGAACTTCATGCATTCTTTATTGTTTCTTTTGAGTTTTTGGACTGTTAGTTATTTGGATAAACGTTTTAGTATGTTATAAATTAAATATGAGAATTGAAGTCAGATCAGTGATCATGAATTTGACAGCTAATTCTTCTTTAAGAAAATACATGTCTCATTTTTGTGTAAACAGCAGCTTTTCATCTGATGAAGAACACAACCCAAGTATTAAAATGATGAAACAGTCTCTATAACCATTTCAAAGTTCACTGTAGGAACATTTTCATTGTTCATCCTTTAGCGTTTAACTTTCATTATTCTTAATGGTCACAAAAAAATAGATATAGAACTATTCCATAGAAACAAGCATATCATGACAATTTAAAAAATGTTTGATTTTGATGAGTTAACTTTAGTAAGAATATAACAGCAAAACTTATTTTTGAAGTCTGTTCATATAATCGGATTTATTTAGAATATCCCCTTTGGTCACATAAACATCAATACTTTTTGTGACCGTAATTTGTTTAGTAGCTACACCTAGTTAGATTATTGATTCTCTTTTTTTGTAAACACTTTAAAACTCCATGTATATACTGAGTGATATTTAGAATTTATTGCTTTGTAGTCAGAAATTGCAAATTTTGTCATTTTTCAACAGAATCATAGAAAGAAACCACAAGTTAGTTTGTCTAGAAATTCGCTTATTTCACCTTGGTATGCTTTAGGTCAAAAATGGCATTGAATTTCAACTTCAACATGACATTTCAAAATGGCCATTATTTGGTTCTTAAATGGATCTATTTCAAAAGCCTTAATTCTTTGTTAAAATAAATTTCTTCGTACGAGTACATTTATGGCTTCAAAATCAGCTGCTTTGTGGATATATTGTCAAAATACGATGATTTTTTCGGACCTAAAAGCTTAAGAAAACCCTTGGCCACAACCTAAGATCAAAAATGTTCTGTAACCAAAAGTTGCAAATAATGATATTGAATGCCTAAACACAAAAACTTCCTGGATCATCTGTGGAGTCCAAAGTAAATTATGCACAAAACTGTTGAGAATTATTATAAAATTTGACCAAAACTGACGTTACAACACAAATAGTGCATACTTAAGGAGTCAATACTTCGTGATATTTAATGTGATTTGCCAAAATGAAGTTATTTTGTACTAATAGTAATATCACAACTATTTCTAGGGGAAATTGTTGTAGTATTTTGGCATGATAAGAAAACACATCAAAATCTTAGGGCCAATTTTAACCCTTTGTGAACTTTTACTTGATGAAACGAAAGGGAAATATATAAATACTTATAATGTATCAAGAGCAGAATACTTGATTTAAAGATAAAAAGACACTTTTTTAAGATTTTTTAAAATGCATTTTTACTGGATTATTTCATTCTCTACCATAGATATCCATATGTATGGCATCATACGTTGCAATTTTACTATGTTCATTATTACTTTGAATTACTTTGTTCAATATTATAGTGCTTTTAAAAAAGAAACACATACATTTTCAAAATTATCCACTTATTGCTTTTTTAAATTCATTGATTCAGTGATGAAAATTTAGGCAATTTTTCGAGTAGAATTTTAGAATGTACTTAAATGAGACCCCAGCAAGTTTGATAGCTAAAATGCATTATTAACTATTCCAATTAAAAAAAAAACAATGGGAGTTGTCTTTATAATTTTAATAGACCAAAGCCTGGGTAGTTGTAAAAATGTGTACTTTTTATGATTTTCTGAAAATATTTTTTAAATGGATTAAAGGGAAATAGTCCATAAACTGTTTCTTGTAATTTGTGTACTGATGGGTCGGGTTGTTGTCTCTTTGACACATTCCCCGTTTCCATTCTCAATTTTACTAAAGCTACAACACATGATTATTCAATAAATAATCATTCTTCAGCTCATTGTATTCCTTATTCATCAGTTTTAGGGTGCAGAAATTTGTCATTTTCATAGAAAACTACTGCAATGGAAAATTGGTTCACGGTACATTACAGCATCTCCTAACTGAACGAAATGGCAACCAGATGACATATTTTTTTGATGGATACTTTCACAATTTTGTTTTTAAGTACAAACAGTTTCAACCAAATCTGTTGATCCCACTTGTGGACTGTTTTGCATGGTTTTATGACAGACTGGGTATTAATATGCTTCCTAATAATAAAAAAAAATGAGTCACGGACTAATTCCTCTGCTTAATAACGAGTAAATTCCATACACTGTCCATTACAAAAGGATTACTTGTCTAAATTTTTTTTCTCATTTTTTACTATTATTACTGATTACAAATAATATTAATGTTAAACCGTAAGTCCGAACAAAGCTAAATAATGCCTTAGAAAGGTTTGACTATCCCTTTTCTCTCTCTCTCTCTCTCTCTCTCTCTCTCTCTCTCTCTCTCTCTCTCTCTCTCTCTCTCTCTCAGAATCAATACCTGATTGTGGTGTTGCACATCTTGTTATTTTCTTTACTGGTGGATTGGTTGTCCTATACACGATGCATACAAAATACAAATAAGATTATGCTTTAAGATCGATGCAACATTGTGTCTGAACTGTTTCCCTGTAATTTGAGTCTGTTCTGTTTTAAATTATAACTTTTATATCTATGTTTTAGTTAAATTTTTTTATACCTTTGTTGAATAGGAAAATCATATTCTCCCTTCTTAGGATAGTAGTTTAGCGATGTTAAATTTAGTAAATCGATTATAAAGATCCTATTCAAGGTATCTATCAAAACTTAAGGAAATCACAAGAACTCGAAAAGGAGCGATAACGGGTATGTCGATAGGTTAAGCGTCTCCTGCTATACATGACATACCCGTCTTTCAGTCAAAATAGCACAAACGGTAAATTTAACAATCATATTACTAGACTGGCAACTACAGCTCCTTAATAAATTATTCAATGTTTGTATTTTGTGGTTGCGAACTAAAATACAATAAATGACGGTAAACGTTTGGATATTAGTTTTTGCATTTGCCTACTGTTTCCTTTTTCACTTTCACAATGTATTAAACAAGGATGTTAATATAGGTATACTATCCATTTTAATAATGCTTTGGTTTCTGTTAAATAATGCCAATTAAATCCCATATGTAAAATTACCATTTTCGGTCTAAGTCAATATGTTAACTATTATTAATTTAAAGATGTGTTGTAGGGAGTCTTCTCAGACTGAGCGCTAACCTATTGCCTCAAAAAGTTCTGGGTGAAGATCCCCAAGGTAGCAAATTTACCAAATAAAACTGAATCATTTTGTTTTGATCTTTTTTTTTTGGGGGGGGGGGGGAGTAATGCAATAATTATTTCCTTTTTAATTGTTTTTTTTTCTCTCTCTTTCTCAAATTGTGCCTGTTTTAATGTTACATCATTTCATTTCGCTTTAACTTTGTAGCTATTTTGGGTATGTTTTGATTGTTAATGTTTTTATTCTTTTTTTTTAAGTTATATCGTTTGCGTATCGTTTGACTTTTATCTTTTCGCGCTTATAACTAGTTATAGTTTCATTTTCGAATATATTTTCCTTCTTACATTGTTTTCGTGATTACAGGACACTTGAAAATACCAGTCCAATCTGTAGCCTTTATGCAGTTATAATCTAGTAAATACAAAATTGGATATAAACTTATCTTCTATACATATTGAACATGCTGAAACAAACATATCGTTAAAAATTTATTAACAATAGAATGTATTCACAATTTTACATCAGTTTACTTAGGCATTTATAATATTTAAATTTCTTGATATAAAGTGAAATTAATGTTTAAATGTTTTAGTTGCCGCAAGGAAAAATATGAAAAGCATAAACCAATGATAATTCATATTTATGTTCACACACTTAAGCTAGCGGTAACATCTTCAACTTATGAGTTTGCATGACTTTTTGGTGTCTTTCTCTCACTGTTTGTTAACAACATTCGATTGTCTTCCTTTGATTAAGAAATTTTTGTCATATCGTTAAAACTGCACTAGTTGAGATTTATTGTTTCTGAGTTAAAACACATCATGTACGTGTATCAATCTTCATAATCAATGCCATTGAAAATATCTACAACTAACACAAATCAACACAGTCACTTGGTTATATCTCGTCGACGGATTAACACTGAAAAAGCATAAGTTTAATTTTTTCTTTTTTTTTTATCTTTCGAAAACTTTTTTAATCCAATGAGGAATTCTTATTCTTAAAAGTATCAATATCAATATTAAGTACATTGGTTTTTACATGATCGTTTTTATTTTTGTTGTTATCTCGCACAGCTTTCAAGTAGTCTACCAAAATGACTTTATCGTAGATCGCACTATAGCGAATGGAAAGGTTAAGGACAATGCGAATAGATATTTATAACCAGGAAGTACTGCAATATTGTCTATTGAGATGGAGTATGATGATTAATAATGTATATAAACAAAATATTGGTATATTTACTGTCAGGCAACTTAACTTTGAAGCTTTAAACAACTAATTTTCGCAAGCATTTTCCAACTTAAGAGAGTGGAAGGGGATATGGAGGCCTGAGGATCCTAGAAGTAAAATGACAATTTGATTACAGCATATTGGTTCATGAAATAACTTCAAAGTGGCCAATTTAGATTTATAAAACGGAGGGGCGATCTGACCATTTCAGAGTTTGTATTTGTAAAAAAGTAAAAAAGAAGAGATAAACAAAAACAAAACAATATACATGTCATTTTTTTATTTGGACCTGTAAATTAACTTAAAATAAAACATCATAGGATAGCAATAAGCAAATACTTTCTTCCAGCGTAAAAAGAAAGACTTTCACAAAATTTTAATATTTCACAGCTTTGATGACACAGATTGTCTGTGACATCACGAAGGAGGATTTTCATTTTTTTTTTTATAAAAAGGCGAACTCAAAAACATAGAGAACAAGTATCGCCCAATCTTATTTTTTCCAGTGAATAAATAAATTCAAGATACACTTTCTGTATACATATCTTCTTGGGAGACGGTTGTGCTATATGTCACTTTAAAGCATGCGCAAGTAAAAACAATGTGAAATTTAGTTATTTTTCATAACGTAATCATTTACACCTATTTATTGAATATAATTCATTCAGTAGGTGTCGATGAAAGGTGTTATCACCTTGCTGCATTTGAATGAAATAGTTCTGGTTTATATACAAAAAAAATGTATTCGACACTTTCCCAGAGTATTCAAAAAATGAAATATTACCAGGTGTCATCACTTGAAACTTGATGCATGGTTTCATAAAGCAGGAACAATCGTCTAGGGAAGGGTTGCAGAAACAGTTTTGTTTCGGACTAGTTACAAAAGCAAACCCTCTTGTATAATCACATCTGCATGTTCTGTCTGATGTAGAACTTCCCTCATCATGGATAACTTGCCCTAGCTCATTACAGTGCGTTTTTTCAAGGATACAGTCGTTACTACCATTAGTCCAGAATTTGATAGGTTGAAATCTATTCTTCTCGCACTCAATCCCATCAATGTTGCCTCTGATGATAAATTTGTAGCCTTGCAAAAGAATGTGTTATTTGAAAAAGTTTTCAGCAAAATTAAATATATTGATATAGTGAAGGTACTACATGAAAAGGTTAGTAGACGATCTATGTGTATGTGTAACCATGACTAAAAATTAAAGCAATATATGTAAATCAATCCATACATCACTTATCAATCACTTGAAACCAATGTGAGACTGACAAAACACGCAAATACCTTGATTTCATAATAAGAATTCCCTACGTTCACTTCACAAAACCCGATGCAAAGAACAATTGTTTATTGTTTTCCTTCGTCTGACAGTCAAAGTAATGCCTTGTACACTAGATAAAGCTGATGCGGCCTCTAGCATAGCTTTAGTCTTAGTTATCAAATTTAGTTTTATATATCAAATGTTGATTTTTACTGTTATTTACGAAATGTCCTATATTTTGTATTTATGTTATTTGTTCACATTTAATTGCACTCGTCTAAATAAATCTGAATTTTCATTTTTTGATAAATAATTGTTATTACATAATATACTTTTTTTCTACGTTTTTTCTGTTCAAGAAATTACAAAATGTATCTGTTCATAAACACTTGCACCTGTAAATATATCAATAAAATGTGAAATTAGAGGTTTTTTTCAAATAAAGGTAGATTTTATACAATTGGAGAGACAGAAAAAAAAATATTATTCAATTCTATGTCAGAAAGTTTTAAAAATACCCAATGAAGTAGTCGTTATAGGATCATTTGTTCTTTTCTAAAACAAATACTGTTATAAACATTCAAGAAGTATCTGCTATGACTTTAGGACATTCATCACGTACCTGATATAACTATAGGACATGCAACAAGTACCTGATATGACTGTAAGACATTCAACAAGTACCTGCTATAACTATAGGACATTCATCACGTACCTGCTATAACTATAGGACATGCAACAAGTACCTGATATGACTGTAAGACATTCAACAAGTACCTGCTATAACTAAAGGACATTCATCAAGTACCTCTTATCCTTATAGGACATTCAACAAGTACATTCTATGACTATAAGACATTCAGCAAGTACCTACTATAACAATAGGATACTCAACAATTACCTTCTATAGCTATATGACATTCAACAAGTACCTGCTATAACAATAGTATATTCAACAAGTACCTACCATACCAATAGGTTATTCAACAAGTATCTGCTATAGCTATAGGACATTTAACAAGTACCTGCAATAACTAAAGGACATTTAACAGGTACCTGCTGTAACTAAAGTACCTGCTATCACTTAATGACATATATCAAGTACCTGCTATAACTAAAGGACATTCAACAAGTACCTGCTAAGAGTATGGGACATTCGTCAAGTACCTACAATAACAATAGGACATTCTACAAGAACCTGCTATTACTATAGAACGTTCAACAAGTCCCTGCTATAACAATAGGACATTCAACAAGTACCAGCCAAAACTATAGGACATTCAACAGGTACCTGCTATGACTTTCGGACATCCAACAAGTGCCTGCTACAACTTAAGGACATTCATCAAGTACCTGTTAAGAGTATAGGACATTCAACAAGTACCTGCTAAGAGTATGGGACATTCATCAAGTACTTACTATAACAATAGGACATTCTACAAATACCTGCTATAGCTATACGACATTCAACAAGTACCTGTTATAACTTTAAGACATTCAATGAGTACCTTCTATAACTATAGGATATTCATCAATGACCTGCTATAACTATAGGACATTCAACATGTACCTGCTATACCAAAAGGACATTCATCAAGTACCTCCTATCACTGTAGGACATTTACTAAGTACCGGCCTGCTTTAACTATAGGACATTCAACAAGTACCTGCTATGACTATATGACATTCATTAAGTACCTGATATGACTATAGGACATTCAACAAGTACCTGCTTAAACTATAAGGCATTCATCAAATACATTCTATGACTGTAAGACAATCAACAAGTACCTGCTGTAACTATACGACTTTCAACAAGTACCTGGTGTAACTTTAGGACATTCAACAAGTACCTGCTATGAATATATGACATTCAACAAGTACCTGCTATAACTATAGGACATTGAACAAGTACCTACTATAACAATAGGACATTCAACAAGAACCTTCTATCACTATATCATGTATATGACATTCAACAAGTACCTACTATAACAATAGGACATTTAACAAGTACCTGCTATAGCTATAAGACATTCAGCAAGTACTTGCTATAACAATAAGTTATTCAATGAGTACTTGCTATATCTATAGGATATTCATCAATGACCTGCTATAACTATAAGACATTCAACAAGTACCTGCTATACCAATAGGACACTCATCAAGTACCTGCTATCACTATAGGACATTCAGCAAGTAGCTGCTATAACTATAGAACAATCAACAAGTACCTGCTATGACTATAAGACATTCAATGAATACCTGCTATAGCTATAGGATATTCATCAATGACCTGCTGTAACTATAGGACTTTCAACAAGTACCTGCTATAACTATAGGACATTCAACAAGTACCTGCTATACTAATAGGACATTCATCAAGTACCTGATATCACTATAGGACTTTCAACAAGTACCTGCTATAACTATAGGATATTCATCAAGTACCTGCTATTACTATAGGACATTCATCAAGTACCGGCTATGACTATAGGACATTCAACAAGTACCTACTATAACAATAGGCTATTCAACAAGAACCTGCTATAGCTATAGGACATTCAACAAGTACCTGCTATAACAATAAGACATTCAAAAAGTTCCTGCTATAACTTTAGGACATTCATCAAGTATGATTGCAAATAAGACAACTATCCACCAAAGTTCAAATGAAGTGGGTGTAAGCAATTATAGGCAATATTACGGCCATCAACAATGAGAACAAGAATGTGTCCATAGTACACGGATGCCCCACTCGCACTATCATTTTCTATGTTCAGTGGACCGTCAAAATTCTAATTTGGCATTACAATTAAATATATCATATCATAGGGAACGTGTGTACTAAGTTTCAAGTTGATTGGACTTCAACTTCATCAAAAACTACCTTGACCAAAAACTTAAAGCGGAACAGACGGACGGACGGACGGACGGACACACCGACCAGAAGACATAATGCCCCTACTACTATCGTTAGTGGGGCATATAAATATATACTGTAAAGTCGGCTATGATAGGCCCGATATGAAAAATGAAACAATGTAACTGAGAAAACTAACCGGCTTAATTTATAACAAAACAATTTACGAAAAAAATATGACAGACATTAACCAACGACAACCACTGAACTACAGGCTCATGACTTGGACAGGCACATAGAGATTGTGGCGGGGTTAAACATTAAACATTTATGGGAGCGCTCAACCCCTTAATCCTGGACAGTGATGTTATCATTTCTAGCACAACATAAGAACAAACTATATAAACTCTTGTTTAATAAATTGTATTTTTTAGGTCGTTATTATGATGATAACGCTGTGTATCACAAACTTTAACAATGTATAATTAGCTTCCACTTCACCATTTTTTTTTTTTTTTTTATATAAATTAAGTTTTACAATAAATTTTAAAAAAAGATCAGTAGAAATTTGGATACTACGGAAGCGTATTAGGGACATAGTAAAAATAAAATTGGCATTGAACTTTTTTTCAAAGTCTAAATTTTAACATTTCAAATCTTATTAAAATTTCGACTTAAAGTCGAATCTTTAACTTTTCAAATCTCAAATATTAATAAATGATTTTTTAATATTAATTAATGATTTTTTAATATTAATAAATGATTTTTAAATATTAATAAATGATTTTTTAATATTAAAAATTCAAACATTTTTAAACAGGATTTTTTATTATTAAAAATTAGATTTATTAATATTAAAAATGATTTTTTAATATTAATAAATAATTTTTTAATATTAATAAATAAGGAATAAATTCCACAACTGCTTGCCCTACATTTAAGATTAGTTAATATAAATCACAAACAAAAGGTATGGATGTTTCGTACTTCGAAATTACCGAAGTCCGAATATATTCCTATAGAAAATTGTAATCAATTAACTTTTCAATTTGGGATTCCACTGTACCAACAAATCCACCAAAATTGTTATCCAACGAATAAGGTGTCTTAAATAGCAGTGTTCACTATTTCAAGGTCTGTTGCGTCATAATGTAAACGTGAATAAAAGGTTGTCTATATTTTGAACAAAAGTGAGTTAAAAGCCTTATAAATGCATATGTATAGTTTTCAGATGGAACTGAAATTTCGTATCATTTATCTTGTTTTTTTTTTTTATTGTTCTAACAATGTTTGGCATATATATTACATATAAAGATAAAATTCCTAAATATTCAACTGAAATGTAAGAAAATAATAGTTTATCCTTTGTCTTAACTATTTGACTTTCTCTAAAACCTCAATACCTTCCAGATTTTAAAAATCTGTTTTTGCTATGATAAAAAAAAATAATATGATAAAGACAAAAAAAACCAATGTCGAAAAGAAAAAAAACACGGACAGACACATAAAAGTCAAGAAAATACTTAACGGACAACTTTTTTAAAAAATCCAATTAGGATGGTGACGCATGTGATCCGGAAGGGTATACATTCCTGTAACCTTTGAGTAATACGTCATACTTCAAAATTTAATTTTTGAGATAATTACAAATTCTCCAAACGATGCTATTTTACGAATTCGATTTTTTTTTTCTTGTTTTTATGTTCTTTTGTTTTTTTGCATTTTCTTTTTCTTAAATTCAATCAGTTGATTCTGGAAAGTTAACATAGTTATATATCAATTGCTTACTGTTTGAAAAGTTTCAATTTTGTATGATTTGTCTTGACATCTTTAATAAACTCGTTCAAAAAGGGTACCGCAATCCTTTTTAGCATGCATTTGAAACTAAACATTTACTAACCAGGTCTTTGGAAATCTGGTGTCCTGGTACAGAAGTCTACAAATGTTGCAGTCGACTCATCATAAAGGCAGTTATATGACGGGAGTGAGGAATTACAGCGTGCCCTGGTTCTCAGTGTCCATTGCGACGAATCGGGACACACCACAGCAGTAGCTATACATATCCATCCGGTTACTAGGTAAAGCTTTACAGGTAAATGAATATAAATATATCTTGTATATAAATTCATACTTAATTATTTTGAATAAATAAATAATGACATTTCATTTAGAAACAAAGTATATAAAATAAATGTCTATTTAACTTCGCAATGGGGCAAAGTCATACAAAAAATGAACACGTATATATATGTATATACTTGAATCGCTAATTTCTCTTATAAGACACGTGTGCATACACTTTCTTTAAAAATAAATTCGTTTTATTTTATCTTAATCTTGAGAAATTTTTTGTTATTGGATTATTGTCTTCTCGTATTCTATTTTGCCAGTAGCTTAATTTTCCGTATGCAGTGACATTAATGATGACCTCTCTCGTTAAAAATTCGACAAGCACACAACTCAAATGCCAATGGGAAAACCGTTATGGGAGACAATGACGGAAGAATTATAGTATTGACTGATTCTGTTGGAAACTTTTAAAACACAAAATTGATAACAGTTATGACAAAGTTTGATTAACAAATATGAACGCGCGGCAAATATTTAAAAACCGAATACACATCGTTCTATACTTTCACTTATTTTACATGTGCTTGAGGATTCTGAGTTGAATTTATCAAGGATACGATTGATTAAATTTGGAAGTAAAACCCGAAAGTTAATTAACAGGCAACGTTTTCGACAAAATATACCCGAATAAAACAATCTGTTTTGCGATTATTCGTAAATGATTTGTTATAAATGTACAACCAGTGAACATAGGGCTTAGTAAAGTATATATGCATACATTGGTTCAATAATTTCCTTCACATTTTGATCACCAGAAACTTGTTTCGTTTGACTTTAAAAGCTTCTTATCATTTAGTGTTCACTCACCTTTATGAGTCTTAAGTCGACTATCATCGTCAATGGATAATCAGTTCATTCTTTACCGTTGTGGGTAATGACATCATATTTTGCTCCTTCAAAAGACAAATTGTAAGTAGAGTGTTACACTAAAATTATTGTCCTAAATATCTTTTCAGTGATTTGGTATTTTTTGTTCTTGCTATCAAACGGATAAGTGAATCCTACTATTAATTATTATAGTTTGGTTTTTAATAGTGTATATTTGTATACAACTGGTGCACGTTAGAGGGAATATTGGGGGGTCAAAAATATGTTTTACCGCTCCACATTCAATATTTGCCTTCTCCAAGCTAGGAACCTATAATCATACGGTTGTCGATGTTGACTGTCTGTCAGTATTGAATGGTTTTATTTATTGTTGTTGTACGAACCCGGTTTTGTCTCTTAAAGTGTTTCACTTTTTGATCACGAAGCTTTTTTAAAGTTGTTATACAGAACGTTCTTTTTCTCATTTGTAAAGGCCGTATATGGCTTTATATTTTTCACATCTTTTGCCTTTGGTATTTAATTGATAGCTGTCTAATTTACAATTATACCACATTTCCTTATTTTTAAATAGATAGAAATATTGATAAAAACGTTTTTGCTTCAGTTTTTTTTAAAGAAAGTGTACTTTACCTGTATTCATAGAAAAATTGCAAGATACAACTTGCACAATGTCATGTAGAAATACATTAATTGTGCCTAACTGAAAAGTGATATTTATCTAGAATATTTTTTATATTCTGTATGAAGGAAGACTTTTCAATTCAAAGCAATGAATAAAATAGTTTACAAAGAGGATACATATTCCATGGAAAATCTAAAACTCATAAGTCGAACAGAAACTGTCAATGCAATGGCGAAACCTAAACACTAAAATCTAACAAGTCCAAAAAGCACTTTAACGAAAATGTATTAAAGATCGATCAACACCAACCCCATAAAAGAGACATAATGGATAAGGAGTTTTTAAGTTCTGTCATGTTTATCAAAATGAGTTTTCTTAGAATCTTATGAAATAAATTCTTAAATGAATTATAAACCTACATCCTTTCTCCCCTTGCAAATTGTGTTAAGTGTTCTTATTTATATAAATTAATGTTTTTGATCTAACTTATCATTTTTCAATACACAATATATTGACTCCGATCAAATAAATAAGTGTCTACCGCCAGGTATTCTAAGTATGAATGTAATGCAATTCTATACTGTCAACAAACAAACTAATAACAAAACGTACTATTCTCATTATTTTTAAAGTATTTAATTACTTTTGTTGTCATGGCTGACTGATATTGTGTTTTGCTTGCTACCTTTAGAATGAAATTTTAAATGGCAGCTGTACACAAATAAAATATTGAACGGAATTTTGATTAAAACATAACTTATCCTGATATTGAATATATCATACCTTTACAAGATTACAAACTTGTGATTAAAATGAAAAGTTTTTGAATGTTTTTTTATCTTAATATTATGCACAAACATTCTTAAGTGTAAAGGCATATCATTCAATTAGACTGTCGGAGATTGTATATATATTATCGATGGTCAATTCCTTCAACTAGGTAGGTACACAATTTTCAAACATCTAGGAATTTTGTTAGACTAAAAAGTTTAGTTGCAAGCAACGCACATTTGATCATCCGTGAAATGCATTACCAAAAACGTATTTAATGTGAATTCGATTATAACGCCTTGTAGTCTCAAGTATGTCTTGTAATTCAAAAGAACAACATGCCGTACTGATAAATCTATAACATTACATGCATAAGAATGAAATGCACTGTAGGAGCTATCATAACGCAATAAACCTTGTTGGTTAATTTACAAAAACAAGGTGCCAGACAGAAACATCATGACAATGTAAATAGGGTCACCAAAACCTGTTATCGGCTATGAATATGGCACCTACAATAGGATTTTTGTTACCAATTGCCTTTCAAATCAAGAGTTATTTTGCTATCGTGAATAGGAGACTTGTGTAAAACGATTGTTTTTATTTATATCAGTGCTGTATGTTCTACTTGGTATCACTTTATACTTGTTGTTAGTGTAATTTAGTCAATATATTTCAACCTTTACAGAATACAAACATTCTTAAATGTTTGAATCTATTCATAGTAAAGATAAAAGAAGTTCTTTTGACAGGTAATCATATATTTAATCCTTTAGTTCTCTCCTCTAGACGTATTAAATGCCATTTAATATGTATTTATGTATGTCTGTACATATGCATATCAAAATATATTAATTACCCGTCATGTCGATACAGTGCTTATATATTTGGAGTTTGATGCAATGTTTATATAAAGAAAAAGCAGGTACAATCAAAGGCGAGTTGAACAAATGTGTAACCATTGTAATTCAAATTTTAAAGCGATAGTAATAATTGTATGTCAACGTACGGCCTTCATAAATGAGCAACAATCCATATCGTAACTAAGGGAGTTAACTCTTTATGAAAATCAGCTTTTGAATGTTTTAATCACATAAAGAGAAATCAAGCTTCTAAGTGATAAAACCTAGTGTTTGTCAAACTGCAATATATCCAATGAAAATTTTTCTGTAAATTCTGTGCTTCAAATTTCTTGATTTTTTTCTATATTTTTGTCAAAGAGAGGCTAAAGATACCAAAGGGATATTCAAACTCATAAGTCGAAAACAAACTGACAATGTAATGGCAAAAACGAAAAACGACGAACCAATAAATAGTACACAAAACACAACAAAGAAAAATAAAGACTGAGCAACACGAACTCCACCAAAAACCGGGGGGATCTCAGGTGCTCCGGATAGATAAACAGATCCTGCTCCATATGTGACACCCGTCGTGTCACTCCTATAAAATACATTGATAAGTTATATCAAATGATGAGACATTACTCAATAGCGGATTGGTAATTGACCCTTATCTTACTCTAAGACATCACCAAATTTTAGACCATATTCCGTGTAGTAAACTATAAGCCCCCGGCATGATAAAATATGACTTGATACCAACTAAAGTTTTATTCTAGGAGGTTACAATAAACAAATTGTGGATCACATTTTATCATGCCGGTAGCTTATAGCTTACTAAACGGTATATGGGTAGCATTTATTGTTGAACGCATGACTTTGCCCCAAGTTGTCAATTTCTAAGAGTTTTTCTTGTTGTTAATTCGTGAATCAAACAAGGGTGAGTTTCGCGAAAATGTAATAAGACAAGCCATGTTTTATCTTAGAAGCTAACTTAATTTCTAAGATAAAACATGGCTTGACTTATTACATTTTCGTGAAAAGAGTGAAACTCCCCCTTGTTTGATCCACGAATTAACAAGAAAAACTCTGAAAAATCGACAACTTGGGGCACTGTCATGCGTTCAACAAGAAATCGTTTTTGTAGGGAACGTTATCCATGAAAAGCAAACAATATATTCATCATGACTACCTCTCATTCAATCATGTCTGTATATCAATTTTCTTTTCTTTTCCTTAACACTCAGATGGTTTATTTATAGATATTCATTTTTACATTTGCTAAAAATCCCATCAAGTCAATTCCAAGTGTTATTTTAACTATAGAGATTTTAAATATGTTGAAGGAAAACGATGATCGAATCATTTAAAATCTCATACGTCGTTTGTTATTTACAACTCTGTTTAAACTTGAACTCTTACACCTATATGATTATACAAATATTGTGAATAATATTTCAATGCCTTTCTTGAAAGCCCGAATCAGATCACTTCGTGGAAAGAATTATTTAGACTTGATTACACCTGCAGTATTGACCGCTTTATAGTAGATGATTATTAAAAGTACGCTTAAATACTACCCATTGGCATGTAAAATATCTTTTATTTTCCTTTTACAATACTGATTAAGATAAGATAACTACTTATCGTTTACCCGTATATACTTATTGCATATTGTACGATAGTATGTCTTGTATTATATTTTTTAAAAAGGGTAACAGTTCATGTATGCGTTTTTCATAGTAATACACATCCATAAAGTTATTATTTCTCCAAAATTAAATAAATACTTTTAATTTTTAAGTCCAACTTGTGGATAAAGATTGCTGAATAAATTTGAATTATAATGAAATGTCATCTGAACAATATATTTCCCAGTCATACAGGTAAAAGTGAGTAGCGAACATAAGTCTTATATGCCACCGGGGGAATTCAAACAGTAATTTGAAAAACCTTATGTAGTATTATATTATAGTTTAGCGAGTTGCATAATTATTCAGTGTGAAAATTATCGTTTTCAATCATCTTTCATTTAACCTGAAATTTTAGATACAAAATGATAAAAAAAGATGATTTGATTAAAAAAAAATCATAGTTGAACAGATTTATTGCACTCTGGCTAGAACTATTAGAACTGCGTCGAAAATATAACACTGTATAACATTATGATAAAACAGTAGTAGACATAAACTTCCTTTCAAGTGCTCCCATTTGCATTTAAATGAAACCCACTTCAGCAGTTATGTATCCTAGTAAAGGCTTTGCCATCTCTAATTTGATTGGATTTATAAATATTATACTCGATCTGTTCTATAACACTTTGTAGGCATATGCTTAAACAAGTCAATTTGCTCATGTAGCAATCACTTCTTCGCGCTTTATATTGGTTGGAGTCTTTCTCCGATCATTTGTAAGAATGAAAAGTACATTTTATTCAATAGATATAAGATGTTAACAGAGCAGTCCGGTTTTTTCTGATCAATGCAATAACATAATCAATAGCGTAAAGGGCGTGTTCAACTGAAAGATATGACGCTTTTCATATCACATGTATATAGCCTTCTTTAAAATTGGCAGACACGGGCGAATTCTGGAGTGTTTGGTGTTGATATCTACTGGGTTTTTTTTTTAACACTGCCAAGATTTTATTAATATTTGTTTGCGAGAAATGTCAAGTGCATTCATGAAACCACATAGATACAGATAGTTATTTCGTTTACTTAAACATTCCAGGCGTTTTTGTATATTACCCTGTGTTTTCGAGTCCCAAAATTACATGTAAATTATCATAAATAAAAAAAAAGCATTACATTTTTACCTTCACAAAACA